TCTGAAGGCTATCGACTCTGGAGACTGATCATTTGAAAGTCAGCTAAGTGAGTCCACTTCGTTAGACTATGATGCCAAACCAGAAATGGTGAACGTATCATAGTTTCTCTAAAGTATGGGACGCTGAAGACCGCATAGGATGTCGAACCTTATCAGAGATTAGGTCCATACCTGTGAGAGGGATTGGGTTTTTGTAGGAAAACTTTGACCTTCAGCCAACCCGGTATTTTGGTTTTCTCTTCAGAGCGAACTTTTAAACTCATCCAGTCAGCAGCGCAACAATTGTTCAGAGCTTTATGGTGGTTGTGATCCCGTGTTTGTTGCATCTTGCATTGCATTTTCATAAGCATCTTTGCATCATTTTGGTAATGATGTAGATGTGGAGAAATATAGAGTTATGATCGTCTCTCTTCTATATCTTACTGCATCTAGGCCGAATATTATGTTTAGCGTATGCATGTGTGCTTGTTACCAATCGGCACTTAAAGAATCTCACTTAAAATACGTAAAACGCATTCTTGGGTATCTTCATAGTACTTCTCAATATGGGTTTTGGTATTCTAAGGGAAGCGATTGTAACTTGGGTGGATACACCGACTCTGATTTTACGGGTTGCAAATCGAATAGAAAAAACACGAGTAGAACTTGCAACATATTTTCAAATGCCTTAGTAAGTTGGCATAGCAAGAAACAAGTTTACGTTACTTTGTCAACTGCTGAGACAGAATATGTTGCGGCCGGTAGTTTTTGTGCCCAAATCTTGTGGCTTAGGCAAAAACTACTTGATTTTGATATAAACTTGAGACGTATTCCCATTATGTCTCTATCAATCTAACCAAGAATCTGGTGCTACATTCACGCACTAAGCATATTGAGATTCGCCATCATTTCCTACGCGATCATGTTGAAAAGGTGATGTTCTATTCGAGTATGTTGATAGTAAACATCTACTTGCAGATATTTTCACAAAACCACTTGCGACCGAACCATTTTTCAACATCCGAAGGGAATTGGGAACACTCGATATCTCTAATCTTGCCTAACATATCATTTTATTACATGTACTTTATATACTTTTACTCTAAACTTCATTGGGAGTTTAATCTCATAAGAGTGAATGGTTCATCAACCTACATGAGAGGTAATATTGTTCCGTTTCTTTCTCTTGCTTAGTAAGTTTCCTTTTACATTACTTGTTGCTAAAATTCCAAATGACTAATATCCTTGATATATGAAGAAGTTCATTAATATTCACTTCCAAAATTTTCTATTGATCTTTGTCAATTATATGTTTATAGGGATATTGTGACATTTCTTCTATATATTTGAAACTTTTTCTTTGGTGCATACTGGCTTATTATGTATTTCTTCATGAACTTTGGTCGAACATGTTATGATATTAAATGAATTCTTGTTGTGTGTCACTGTTATGGTTACATCTCTATTTTTGGTTTGAGTGGTGATGACTTTGTTTATCACCTTGCTAGAGCACATGCGTGAGCATTTCGGAAGCACCAAAAGCATATGTCACATAATCGTGTCGCTTTTGTAGTAACTCAAGAGTTTGTGATTACATTGTATCCTTCAATGTTCATGTTTGTGTATTTTATTTTAGCATTATTTGTAACAGTTATGTTCTATTGTTACTTGATTTGTTTGTATTTATGTTTAGGCATTCTAAATTAATGTGTATATCATTCTATGTGAGTGCCATCAGGTTGATTATCTTCTCTTTGCAAATTTCCTCTGTGTGGTATTTTGAATTTGTATGTGGTTATTGATACTTCTCATAATTTACTTGTTCTCTTTTTAATGTTGTCAAAAGATGAGAAAGTATATAAGTTAAAGAATATGCACATATTCACTGGGAGTCTTCAAAAAGACAACAACGTCGTGAAACGCATCGTATCATGTTTTGCCATCATCGAAAAGGGGGAGTATGTGCTTTTTGTATTTTAAGTGATGTTAAAACTAAGATAGTGTAACGTTATATATATTAGATGATATCCTCCCATTCTAGATAAGTGTATTTCATTAGTAAGCATTTAAATAAGTTTGAAAAGGAGTCCACATCATAATTACATTGAAAAACATGTCTTTGGGAAAACAAGTCATTTTAGGCTGACACATGCATGATCAGGCCGACCTATATGAATTTTTGTTTCAGTATAGGTCGTGACAGGCCGACCTGATTGATTTGACAGGCCGACCTATTGCCTTTACAGACCACCTATGTGACTTCCTAACTTAAAATTTTTTCATTTTCACTCCAACTGATTGCATTCCTTTTGCTCATTTTCTCATCATACCTATATATATTCATACATGCATCTTTTTCTAGTAAGGTTCTATAGAGTAAAACCTAAACGAAACTAGATTACAAAGCTGCCCATCATCTTCATCCCTTCGTCTATGCATACACACAATTAAACTATACATAATCATTTTTCGATTGGGTGACCATTTAGATTAGGGTTGATAACGTCCAACTAGGTTTGGTGTAACCGAGAATATTGGGTTGAGAACTTTATGTGTATTAAATAAGAAAACCAATGTGGGGTTTTCCTTCGAGATCGGTGTGATTTGAAGGTTATGGACAAGATCGTCAACACAAATTCGACAAAGTGAAGCCCTTGAGACAAGGTGGTTTCCTTAAAAGGGAGTAGCGCGAGACATTAAGTTGTGTTCGGGAATCTTGGGTTTCAACAAGTTGCGTGCTCGGGAAAATTGGTGGATTAGAGTCGCATTATTAGTCACTTGATCAAGCTTTGATCAAGGGTTTGAAGGTGGAAGAATCAACACAAAACAATAGGTTTTTGGGGTTTGCATTCTTCATCTCTTGTATAAACGATTTTGCAAAGAAAAGGTTAATTGTAATCATCTCAATTTGATTTGAATTTAGGATAGACGTACCCATAGCGAGGCCGATTGGGGAACTTCCTAAACAAATCTCTCTCTCTCTCTCATCTCTTTATCGCTTTAATTGATTTTGCAATTTATCGAGTTCATCGTTGTTTGATCAATTCGATTGGAAATTGTTTTTCAATTATCTTCTAAAAATGTTGTTGTTGATATAATCATAATCACTTTGATTGTGATTGACTTTTAACATCAACAAAATAAATTGAATTTCCAATTGCTATCGATTGCATACCAAGTGTCTGATAAATTGTTTGTACGTATCTTTAATTAGTTTTTTTTATTCATTAGAAATACAAGTTACAAATATCTTTGCATTTAATTGATTCGTAGCTTGATCGTTGTTGAACATTTATGTTCATTATCATTCTGTTTGGTTTGTGATACGTATATAGCTTTTCGATAGTAGTTTCGGCTAGACGATTCGATCTGAGTCATTTTTCTACTGAGACATATTTTTGAAAACAAGTTTCAGTCAAAAGTTTTTTACTGTAAAATTTGTGATCCATTCACCCCCTCTAAATCAAAGTCTGTCGTCTAATAATGCCAAATACATTTTGTTCAAGAAGGTTCAATGTGATTCCTCCCTGATACAAGCGTATGCATCTTTTAAAAGATAGATCACCATTTGCAGATTATGTGCCCAGATGAGTTTATCAACAATAGTATTATCAAAAGACAAGTTAATCTTCAAAATGTCTTCAATAATTTAAAGAGTCAAAATGGATAAGTCATGAGGAATATTCCAATTAATGTCTTAGATAATTGAATTGATCTTTGCAGTTTGCATAAATTGAATATCCACTAACAATACTATGTGTAAATCTTTAATTTTGTATCACAATCAATTGTCAATCCATAAATCAATGTTTTTTTCATTACCAACCTACCATTTACTATGTTCCTTCAAAAAAGAAAATGAATGCGTAATGTCAGGACATAAGATTAGTGATTATTGATAGTCAATAACTTTCAACAACTAAATAAACAATCAGTTTTGTTTATGGTCTTAATACCTTTTAGAACAAGATCTCATTAGATAAAGGAGAGCAAATAACCTTCCAAGATATAATAATTAGCTTTTTATTGTCTATACTACATATTCACACAAAGTTTCTAATACAAGAATCTAAATTGTTAAAAAGATTGATTGGTCATTCATAAATTCTAAAATTATACAAACATATGCCGTGTATGACTTACTAAACGAATTAAACTCTACCCATGAAAAAAAGAAAAATATTATTCTTACACTAATTTATTACACCTATACCGTATCTCACTATTCACCAATACGATGAACAGTAAAATATTATAATAATATATATATTTTTAAATATATTTTTTTAGATTAAATGATATTATATAAAATTGTGTGATTAACCAAATTCATAACTTCATTAACCAACCTTTTATATTTTATTAACCAATTTTATTTATTGTTAAACATTATTTTTGATATCTGGACGTTTATTAACTAATTTTATAACTCTATTAACCATCTTTTTACTTTTTATTAATCAACTTTAATTAACTACTAAAAATTATTTTTAATATTTGAACGTTTATTAACGAAATTCATCACTTTATTAAACAACTTTTTACATTTCATTAACCAATTTTATTTTACTATTTTAAAATTATTATTCACCGATACTGTTCACGAATATTTTTTACGAATATTGTTCACGGACTGTTTATAAAAAATATTTTTTATTAAAAAAAAGCATTATTCACTATACAAATACAATGAATAATGTATACAATATATGTATTGGATGTAAAAAATATATAAGAATAATAAAAAATAAAAAATAAACTTTCAAATAAGTAGCTTGGCCAATAATCTATATATGATCACTTGGTCAATAATTTATCTACTAATTGAATTAATATTTAGTGCAAATAAAATAATACAAGTCTATGTTATTATCATAAATAATATTTATAAAAAAAAAGAATAAACATGCACACCTGTTGTAGCCGGTCATTTAGCATCATTCCACAATCCACCCTAGAACCCAGTAAAACCCTTGCCTGAGCACTAAACCTCAACCCAACAAAAACCTCATCAAACTACAATGACAAAACCATATGCCGCTGTTTTACTGTCGGCCATAGCTGCCGCGTCAGGTTTATCTCACAATCACGCTTTCTCCGACGCCGCTTCTTCTTCACCTTCCGACGATCCTCAATCTCCTCCGCCGCCTCCTAAATTTCGAAACAACAATCCAAGAACAACATCTGCTGGGTTTGATCCAGAGTCTCTCGAGGAAGGAGCCAGAATTATCAACAATGTTGCCACTAAACCTCACGGCAAAAATGTTTCGTCTTTGTTCCATCCTCGTTTTCTTATTCATACCCTTTTGCTTTGTTTTGTTTATGTTTTAAGTTTTATTGTTTTCTGTTTTTAGGTTTTTGAGAATATTAAAAAGAAAGAGGATGCAAAGCAAGCTGAGTTTGCTGCAAAGACTGTTGAGTCTAACCATATCAAAGCACAGCATGAGGCTGTAAGTTGTTCTAGTAAAACCATTTGCTATCAATTTTTTTATTTTATTGGGTTATTTATTAGTTTTAGTATGTGTTGAAGAAAATTGAGTTTGAGTGAATTGATTATGGATAATTGATTAGGGATAAAAGTGAGTTGAAGGTAAAGTAATTTTTGTTTGGATAAATTACTTCAAAAGTGAGTTGAACGGTAAATTTCAGTACAAATTCTAGCTTCAAGTAGAATCAATTGGATATTAGGCTAGTGTTGGTTATGCGGTGAAAAGAATTGATTTTAAATAAATTGATTATGTAAAATTGATTTTAGCTAAAAGTGAGTTGAAGGTGAAGTAATTTATGTTTGGATAAATTTATGGAGAAGTGAGTTGAATGATAAATTTCAAAGCAAAAATTGCATTTAAACTCAATCTACAAATTCTAGCTTCAAATAGAATCGGTTCTCAAATCACTCCAAAATCAATTCTACACCTCTAGAATTGCCTTGCTTTTCCAGAAGCTAAACCAAACATTTGCTGGGTTGAAAACTTTTGCTTTCATATATGTGTGTATCTTGTGTTTTTCTTTCCAGCATTTCAACTGTGTTTGTCTTGCAGGAAAGGCAAAGGATTACATATGAAGAAAAGAAAAAGCTTGCCCAGCTTCAGGATCAAATAAAATCTCAGTTGGCTAAGTATAAAGATGAGTTGGCAAGGAAGAGGATGCAGGTATTGAATCTTTTGAAAGTTGGGATTTTGATTTTTTGTTGTCGTTTTAAGAATCTTTCTCATTCTTGGATTATTATTGTAAGGCAGAAAATGAACAAAAGAGAGCAAGGAACCAAGAGCTAGTGAAAATGCAAGAAGAATCTTCGATCAGATTGGAGCAAGCTCGGCGTTCAATAGAAGAACAGATTCAGGCACATCGGAGGCAGAGTGAAAGAGAGATGGCTGAGATTGAACGTGAAACAATCCGAGTAAGGGCTATGGCAGAAGCAGAAGCGAGAGCACATGAATCGAAGTTAGCGGAAGATGTTAATAGGAGAATGCTAATTGATCGTGCTAATAAGGAACGAGAAAAATGGGTTGCTGCCATAAATGCTACGTTCGACCATATTGGAGGTACATTTCTATTTGTTGCATAGTATGCAATGTGCAAAACGTTACGATGACAATCTAAGAAGACAATAATCATCTGTACATTTATGCATTTGTGGAGTTGAATACATCAACCAAATCATTGATTATGTTGGTTTGGTTAACTCCATCGGTATATTTATTAGGTTAGAGCTATATTTGTTTGGTTAACCACACCAATCCTGATGTTTGAAAATTTGCTTTATCTTTTGTAGGGGGCGTTAGAGCTATTCTAACGGATCAAAATAAGTTGGTTGTAGCAGTTGGTGGAGTGACTGCTCTGGCAGCTGGAATATACACTACAAGGTATAAATTGTTCTCTATCTGTCTATTTTGTACGAATAAAAGAATTCTACTTTGTTGTCATTTGCAGGGTATGCTTAGTTTATACTCACATTGGACTTAATGTAGGGAAGGTGCGCGGGTTATTTGGGGATATGTTGATAGAATATTGGGACAACCATCATTGATCCGAGAGTCCTCCAGAGGGAAATACCCATGGTCTGGCGTGTTGTCTCGTACCATGAGCTCCCTGTCCCGACGTACCGATCCAGAATCTGCTTCAAAAGTTGGAAATGGTTTTGGTGACGTAATTTTGCATCCTTCTCTTAATAAAAGAATTGAGCAGCTGGCATCTGCAACTGCACATACAAAAGCACATAATGCACCATTCAGAAACATGCTTTTTTATGGTCCTCCAGGAACTGGAAAGACAATGGCTGCCAGAGAGTTGGCTCGTAAATCTGTATGATTCCGTACATATCTATTGACCTTTTTTATGGTCCTCCAGGATTTGTTAGTATTTGTTATTTTGTCTGATTTTGTTTCAACTCAATGCAGGGATTAGATTATGCGTTGATGACTGGGGGAGATGTTGCTCCGCTCGGCTCACAGGCTGTCACAAAGATACACCAGTTGTTTGATTGGTCCAAGAAGTCTAAAAGGGGTTTATTGCTTTTCATTGATGAAGCTGATGCATTTCTGTGCGAGTAAGCAGCGCTTCTTTCATGATTTTTCATTTATTCGCATGAAATTTATTTTTATATAAAGAAAGTTACAAAAAAGAAGTTGCGCGCTAACAATGTGCAGCGCGATGTGAAAACTAACATTCTCTGCACAAATATCATCCAAGCAAATTGATTGTGTTGAATAAATTTTACAGGCGGAACAAGACTTACATGAGTGAAGCACAAAGAAGTGCACTCAACGCTCTTCTCTTTCGCACCGGTGACCAGTCAAAAGACATAGTTCTTGCGCTTGCTACAAACCGTCCCGGTGATCTCGATTCAGCTGTGTCAGATCGTATTGACGAGGTCCTAGAATTTCCATTACCTGGAGAAGGCGAGCGCTATAAACTTCTTAAACTCTATCTAGACAAGTACATTGCCCAAGCTGGAGCAAGGAAACCTGGTCTAGTTCAAAAATTGTTGAAAGGAAGCCCACCAAAGATCGAGATTAAGGGATTGACTGATGATATCATTAAGGAAGCGGCGGCTAAAACCGAGGGATTTTCAGGAAGAGAAATAGCAAAACTGATGGCTAGTGTCCAAGCTGCTGTATACGGAAGCACGAATTGTGTTCTTGACGAAAGCTTGTTCCGTGAAGTGATAGATTATAAAGTAAGTGAGCATCAACAGAGAAGAAAATTGGCAGGTGCTGCTGATAAGGCTGGTGCATGAGGTTTTTCATGAAAGATTTTTTCAGCAATCTTTCTAGTAGAGATTTTGTCAAGCTTATTCATTGATTGTCACTAATTGAAGGAAGATTTTGGAATTTTTAAGCATAGTGAAATTTTATATAGTATTTTTGGCTTATAATCAGTATTAAATATGTACGACTATTTGCAACAGCTGACTGACTATTTGTGATTGAGGAGGGTGTAAGTTATTTACATCGTGCTTAAATAATAATATTACTTTCTGTTTCATTAGTTTTATTGTTAGTGGTGATGTTGGGTGTTCAAAATCTCATCACCTCTGATCATACCACCTCACCCTATCATAAACTTTGCTTATATCAATTTATAAACTTTGCTTATATCAATTTTAAGGGTCACTTCTCCCACCCACGTTACTGTTTGCTTTTGGTGCAAACTGTAAATAATCCTTTTTTTTGTACAAATAAAAAAAAATTGTTAAGTAGGGAAAAAATCTTTAATTTATCAACAAATTTAAATTATAACTTTGTTTATTGGCTCATTCACCTATTTACTGTATGTATGCAAGTGTAAAATAATTGATAAGCAAATTGTCTAATTTTTTTAGTTGATGTAATTTGAAAACAAGAAATAAATAGAATTAACCAACATTTAAGACTGGCTTCTGAAAGTTAAATTATCCAACAAGCTATTTAAATAATAAGCCTTTTGTAACTGCCGGGCATTTAAGACTGCTTATAATTATTAATTTGATTTCAGAACGGTAATATCATTACTTTGATTTCAGAACGGTAATACTCCTATAATGAATACATCATCAATTAATTAACTATCTTAAATCCAGCAACTTAATCCTTGAATCATTATTCTCTCTTAATTTGGAAGCATCTGAGGGATTAATGATAGTTTCAAAACTACGAGTGATAGTTTAGAGACCACATTGATGAATTATTCATGATATTATACTTTCAAGACTTGCAAACTATGAAATACTCAAACAAAATATATCTCAATGATTAGCCAGATTACAGGCTCTCCACACACAATATAAGACCCCCATCAATAGTATCAGATGATAACATGAACAATTTTGTCATATTCTTATTTAGCAAATTGTAACAGACAAGTACATTTGTTACATCATAGGATTTAGTCAGAACATTGTAACCAAAAACTCATAAATGATGTTCAGCAGCAATTCTTTAAATACACAACAATGAATTGTAGACAGCATGCCCTAATGGTGGTGATCCTGAACATATCGCAGGCCACAATATTTGCAGACAGCTGGCTTGGCCAAGTCAAGGCATATATATTCAATTGGGTGTCCCAGGGCGGGATCAGTATCTGAAAACAGGCAGCAATATCCAAATTAATTACAATCCTACATAATCAACAAAACCTGAACTGTAAGGTCTTTATCTCCTTCACTTATGCAAGGAAGAAGATAATAGAAATTGCAAATATTGTACCTCCTTCACAAGCAACTATCCTGCCTTCGACCTTAATTGGTGGTACTTCATTGATCAGCTCCATTGGAGATTTCTTGCTTGTATCCTATTACAGAGGAAACAAATGTTAGTATCAAAATTTCTTGAGCCACAATTCAGTAAGAAGGAATGACTTCAATTTCCATTAGAGGAGTCAACTCTTAAGAGCTATGTGCATGTTCGATGCTTGGCCAACAGCTGATGTGAAAAATGATATTTTTTCTGTGTAAGTGTGCTGGCAATTTGGGTTACTTCAAACAAGCACTATTTATGTCTCCAAATCTCAGTTGGATTGGAAGTGATAAAAGTACTACAGCGAGAGATAAAAGTAGTTTCTGTAATAGGCTGAAAAATGTGCACAAGGTTTTAGTTAAATCAATTGCATTCAAAATCACCATTCAAAATGTGCACAAGGTTTTAGTAAAATCAAGTCACACAGGGAGTTGGAGCCAGAGCCAGTAAGAAGAAAGACAGGCATTAACTGACAAAAGTATTTCAATCTGTCTTTAGTATAAATGAGGAAGAAAACTCAAATCATTAAAACATTACTAAACTATTTGGGAAACACTGCAGAGAAGAGCAGCCCTTGAATCATCAGCTGACACTGAGGGATAGATCTATTCTCTAACAGAAATCCTGTGCCATTGGCCAGTTGATAATCCAGTTAGAACTGCCATGGATTCCGTCCTATAGAGCAAGTTCAAATTTTATTCCTCAAAATGTTTCTTTAAAGTTTCTGATACTTAAGTAACCTAGAAAACCTCAAGCAGAAAATTGTCAACATATTTTTTTGTCACATTCATGTCACTGGTGCATACACTTGTGCTCGATCAATGTTGTGTGACTGAGCTGTCCCCAATATTTCTTTTATAACCTTTTTTCCCCTCAATTTACTACAAGAGGTAAGATATAAATTATAATTGAACAACATTCAAAAGGGGCTGAATTATGTATTAGAAGATGAATTCCATGAGGCACAATCTGATGAATATTTCAAGTAAAACAAACTATATATGTATCTATCAACAAGATATTCATACTCTTACAAAGGCGGTTTTACCAGATTCTAAATATGAACAATCCAGAAAAATAAGCAACAACAAGATTATAACTAAAACATCCACATCAAATACAAATATGCAGTAGAAGACCTTCCCAAACAAGCTTAACCTTCCACTTCATTAAACCACTATCCCAACAAGAATCAAACCCTTTTTCTTATCATTTCAGGATCCTTTAATGTGCAACACACCAAATGTTTTCAATAACAGAAATTATACGACAATGCCCAGTCAATAATCCAGTTAGAACTGCTGTTGATTCCGTCCTATAGGGCATGCTTAAACTTTATTCCTCCCAAATAAAGTAGCTTAGAAAATCTCACAGACGAGTTTCCTCTCTCCTGGTGCATACACTAATGTTCAACTCGTTCAATGTTGAGAGATTGAGCAGTCTCCAGTCCCGGTGCATATAAAAAGGACTGATTTTGGAATTAGAAGAATAATTTCTTGAGGTATAACTTTATATTTACTTCAAGGAAAATATAGATAGATATCTACAATATTTCATACTGATGCAAAGGTGGTTTTACCAGATTCTGAAAATGAACGATCCAGAACAATAAGCAACAACTAGGTTATACTTATAACTAATACACATCAAATACAAGGTGCGGTAGAACAGCTTCCTACACAAGCTTAACTTTCCACTTCATTAAACCACAATGCTAAGTTTCCAACAAGGATTAAACCCTTTCTCTTATCATTTCGGGATCATTTCAGAGATAACATCAATTTATAGACTCCTGTTTTATATTAATAGTTTCAGTAATACATTGTTACAGCATCTCAAATTTGCATCCCTTTTCTCCTCTCAACGCATCAGAAATCAAATAAATAAAAATTCCAATTGAGAAGACTAGAAACGTATTTATATTTTTCCCCTCATTTAAAAAAAAATTCAATCAAATCATGAATAATGCGACTAATTTCCAAAGCGTAATGACAAATTATGAGCCTAATTTGAATCCAAATCATGTTAAATCAAACGCTATCTATTTGGTTTTGTTTGTGATATAAAAAAATGAAGTGATTCGCAACGGTACCTGCATCCACTTGGCCGTATGGTTGCTGATTTGAGTGGTTACGAGGCTGAAATTTCTGGTGGCGGTGGTGGTTGCCGTCGATGATGAAAATTTTACGAGGTTCTTCAAAATACTCAACGCCATTTCACAAACCCTAATTTTACTCACAAATCAACAATCAATTTTGATTAAGATCAATGAAAGAATCAAACGGGAACTTGATTGAAACTCGCCGTCGGGATACAAAACAACGCTAGATTGGGAGTTTCGGTCTTGTTCCCAATATTATACAAATGGGTCGATCCATGCTTTGGTCCATTATCTAAATTTCTATTCGTACCTCGATATTTTCTAGTACACCGTCATTGTCTAGAAATTTTTGTTGAATGTATGATATAAGACTTACGATACTCCCTCCGTCCAACATGTAACCTAATTGATCATTAAGAAAATTATAATAATTAAAAAGAGAAATGAGTTTTACTAAAATACTTTTTATCGTGTATTATTTAAGAGTGATGAAAGTGATAATAATTGAAGATTAATAAAAATAGATCATTTATTTTTGGGACACTTTATTATTTTAAATAGGTCAATCATTGTTGGATTGAGAGAATATGTGTGTTGGGGGTATGACATAAGATTGGACGAAACTCTTCCGTTTATATATATATATATATATATATATATATATATATATATATATATATATATATATATATATATATATATATATATATATATATATATATATATATATATATATATATATATATATATATATATATATATATATATATATATATTACTTTTTACTCATATCAAAAAAGAATAATTATTTTTACTTTTTAAAAGATGATTATTTTTTGCCTATTTTATCCATAATTTTTTGTTAATTTATTTGACTTTTTCTCTCTATGTGATAAATAACTGAGAGTAGTTTTGACAAAATAATAATTAATATTATTTTAAACTTTGAAATGACATTTAAAAAGGAATAATTTTTTTAAAAAAAATGACACTTAAAAGAAAAACATAGAGAATATTAGAAAGAAATGTGTGTGGATATGACATAAGACTAGAAAATATATGATTGGAATGTGTGTGTTTTTTTGTGCGAGGGGTGTAGGTGTGTGTGTGTGAGAGAGATGGCAATATATATGATAAAATATGTTGAAAACTTATATTAAGTGGTTTGGATGCGTGGATTAGAAATATTTTTGTAGATTTTGTAGAAATGATAGTAGATCAAATGAAAGACAGGCAAATCAATAAAGGTGCAGAGAAACTTATAAATCTTATAAAAAAATAAAAATTATTAAGTATTAAGAATAATTTTGAGATTGATGAGTTAAATAAAAATATAATATATGATAATATTATGACGTCATTTAATCTATATAAGAGATTCTATTTAATAAAATAAAATTAGTTTAGTGTATCATTTAGTCCCTTAATTTTATAAGAAGTTTTAATTTGGTCCTCTAACTAAAAACGTTATTTGGTGGTCCCTTAACTTCACTTTTGTTAAATTATTTAGTCATTTCCGTTAATTTCTATTGGAAAAATATTAAAAGATGTCATGTTGGACTATTTATATCTGATGTGGAATTTATTTATTTTAATATTGTTGTAAATATGTGAACTTAAATAAGAAAGGCACGAAGCTGAAAGGTTAGGGCAAACAAAGACGATTTCTCTTAATAGTTCCACAAAAGAAGATAGTGTAGTTATACAACTAACTCTATTAAAGACAATAGCAACAATAGTTCCACGACACAACTCCATTGAAGACGATAGCAACAATAGCTCGACAGAAGAAGATAATGAAGCTATACGACTAAGGTATGATTTCTCACCTGTAACCTACTAAAAACGTGGAATTTTTTCTTTAGCCATCTTCCTTAGTACTTTTGTTATCTTATGTAGGTTTAATAGGAAATGAAGAAGATATTGTAGAAGCATGCTTCAGTCTCAAGTTTTGATGATGTCAATACTACTCAAAGTCATCTCTTGATTGCAAAAAGGCAAGTCGTTCAAAGTTATCAAGATCAAGTCAAGCTATCTTTCAAGTCAAGCTACATATGGAACTATGATTCTTCCAGACTTGGCTGCATTACTGGTATATCAAATCCACCTTTATAATTTGATATACAAGTGTTCAAAAACATCAATCATTTGTGCATAATACATAAGCATGTTTTTGAAACCTTAAAAATGGTATAACATTATTTTAAAAAAAAGCATTTTTCTGAAAATTAGCAGTGTTAACCGATTAACCATATAGGTTAACCGGTTAACCAATTTGAATTTTGAATTTTCTGGGCTAACGTACCAGTGTTAACCGATTAACCATATGGGTTAACCGATTAACACTGAACGTGCAGTGAAAAATTGCTTTGTTTCAAGTTCAAAAATTATTTAAAAAAACATACCTTTTCATGGTTTGAATCTTTTAAAATTATACCTTTTCTGAAAGGTTATTTTACTCATATAAATTCTGAGTTTTTCATTTTTGAAAAACAACCAATAGAACATAACTCAAAAACTTTTCAACCTCCAATACTCATTTTAAAATTGTCTTGGAATCAAATTCATTTTTCAAAAAGTGTTCATACTTGCATTGAAAATTTCATATTCATTGAACACTTGTATTGAAAAATTACAAAGAGTGAATTTTGATTCATTGGAGAAGATCACTTTGATAGTTATTCTCAAACCAAATTCATTACAATTATTTTATTTTTTGACTTGTGATCCAGGATTGTTGGACACAAGGATGAGTGTTTACAAGAGGATTGTTCTTGTACACTTGTTAGTTTGATTGTTTGATAGTAGGCCTCACCGGTTGATGGTGTGATAGGTTGTACTGTTTTAAACAATAGTGAAAACTCTCTTTCATGTTGAAAGGGGAGTGGAGTACTCTCGGATTGTGAGGGGAACCACTATAAATTCTGTGTCTTTTTTTCTTTCTGTTGATTTACTGCTTTCCATAACCAAGAACACCATCCAGTATATTTCCAAGAACCATATAAAAACCGGAAAAATTTCAAAAGTCCTAATTCACCCCCCCCCTCTTAGGCATACTATGTTCTTACAATTGGCATCAGAGCAGGTTAAGGTAACCTGTTCCTAACGATTCAGTATGGATTCCGCAAGTACCAACCCGGTTTTCAAAGATGGTGGAAGTAGTAACAAACCACCACTCTTTTCTGGAGAATACTTTGATTTTTGGAAAATCCGTATGAAGGCACATCTTGAGGCTCAAGGAGATGGTATATGGGAAACCGTTGAAACTGGTCCACATGTTCCTACAAGTGTGGTAAATGGTGTTGGAACCCCAAAGATTAAATCCTCATATGATGAAGATGACAAGAAGAGAATCTTGAATGAGAAGAAAGCAATCAACATACTTCAAAGTGCTCTCAGTATGGATGAATTCTTTCGCATATCACAGTGTAAATCGACAAAACAGATTTGGGATACCTTGGTAGAAACGCATGAAGGAACAACAGAAGTAAAAAGATCAAGACTTAACACGTTAAGTCAAGAATATGAGATGTTCCGTATGCAGCCCGGTGAATCTATTGTTGCCTTGCAAAAGAGGTTCGTTCATCTAACAAATCACCTGATTTCTCTTGGGAAGACCTTCACCAACGATGATCTCAACTTAAAAGTCCTAAGATCCTTGACAAGAGAATGGCAACCAAAGGTGACCGCCATTTCGGAAAAGAAAAGTCTTTCAACAATGACATCCGCTTCATTATTCGGGAAACTTCAAGAGCATGAACTGGAACTTGGAAGGCTTGAGAAACATGAAAGTCAAGACAAGAAGTCCAAAGGAATTGCCTTGAAGACTGACACAAAGGATGACAAAATTGACGAATCTTCCGAAGACGAAAATTTCATGCTTCTAGTAAAGAAGCTTGGTAAGTTTTTCAATAATAATAAAACTTCTTCTTTTTCTAAAAAGAATAGACATTTCAGGAAAAAGGAGGCATCCATATCAAATCAAGAAATTACATGTTATGAATGTGGAAAACAAGGTCACATAAAGCCAGACTGCCCAAAACTCGCAAATAAAGGAAAATTCAAGGGCAAGAAGGATTTCAAAACAAAGAAGGCTTATGTCGCATGGGACGACAACGAAGTGAGTTCATCATCGGAATCAGATAGCGATGAATGCGCAAATATTGCCTTAATGACCTCTCACCATTCCGATGACGAAAATGAGGTTAGTAGTAATTTTTCTGTCTATGATAATGATGCACAAGAAGTTATAGATGAACTTCTAAAAGAGTGCAAGACTTTGTATAAAGACATCTCATCACAAAAGAAAAGAATTTTACTTTTAGAAAAACAAAACTCTGATTTCTTGAAAAATATTGAAGATGAAAAACAAAAAGTGATGGATGAAAAACAAAGTCTTGTATGTAAGAATTGTGAGTCTTTGTCTTTTCAAATTGTTCAACTTAAAAGAGTTTTAGAAAGATACGAAAAAGGTCAAATTGGCTTGGAAGAGATTCTTAAACATCAAAGGTATCCTAATGATAAAAGTGGATTGGGATATTCTAAATTTTCAAAACCAAGCACCAATAAGACCATTTTTGTAAGAGCAAGTGAACAAATTGTGAAGGAAGAGACAAGCACTTCTAAAACTCAGCATCAAAATCATAACAAGAAAAGAATTAATAAGAAAAAGAATTATATTCCTAGATATAGAAGTCATTTTCAACCTACATGTTTTTATTGTGGTATTAAAGGGCACACACCTAATGCCTGCTATGTACGTAATATTGGTGTTGCAAAGGGGCATTATGTGTGGGTGGAAAAAGGTACTAACTATCAAGGACCCAAAGCAACTTGGGTACCTAACACTACCTAATTTTGTTTTGTAGGTATGCTTGAAGACAACCACAAATCAATGGTATCTTGATAGTGGCTGCTCGAAGCATATGACGGGAGATATAAACAAATTTTCAAGTCTATCATTAAAGGCCAAAGGATACGTCACTTACGGTGATGATAATAAAGGAAAAATTCTTGGAGTTGGAACCATTGGTGCACCTCCATGTACAATCATCGAAGACGTTCTATTTGTTGAAGGCCTTAAGCATAACCTGCTTAGCATCAGTCAATTGTGT